TCTGCATTTTCTTGTCTAGTTCTACCAACGATTCGCGGTGCTATGAAGCTAGACTGTTTATATTAAAAACCTAAAAGTTACACAGATGCAACATATTCCCGGACACCCTCGGAGCATTCTTACGCGTTCAAAAGCATCTCCTTCAGAGACGTTGTCGTTTGGCCTCCGCCCGTTGGCCACCGCCTAGTGTTAGACGCAGGACCGACGGGCACGGCCCTACGGAGACCTGCAAGGGCGGGTTGTCGGGGGTTTTTGTTGTAAGACTTGCGAACGCGCACGGCCAAAACTGGGCTATGAAGTTCTTTCCTTATTGATTGTGGACAAAGTTGAGCGCTTTGAGACCACAATAGGCCAATATGAATGCAAATGTACGACCTTATTTGGATCTAAGATCTAATTTCAGGATATTTGTACAACCCAGAAAAGCTCCGGCGCAGCCCCTGTTTGCTATCGGCTCAGGAATAGTCCACTGGAACATCATAAAATGAACAGCACCGGTGTGCTTCCTTCAGTTTGTCGACTGCAAAATGCAAATAGCATTGTATCTATTGGTGACACCTGACTTTGAAGAAAGGCAACGCTCCCCTCGAAATCAAGTGGGGCATATCCGGTGACTTCTTTTTTTAGGCGGAGCCTTACCCCTGGGGAGGGCTTAGTCAACCCCATCCGCCCTCCACGATTACCAAGACTGGCTGAGTCTCTCTGTCGGTACGCTCATTGAGCACCGAGTATACGTATACGTATGTAGATATACGAGTATACGTATACGTATGTAGATATTATCCCGTGGCAACGGAAAAGCTAACTCAACCGGAAACGTTGTTACAATCAACCTGTTTTACACGCATGACATTGGTATGACGGGCTGTTTCATTTTTCCACACTCTCGAAGTGAAACGGATGATAGTTTTTCCTTTCATGAGGCACAACAGCTTGGAACACTGTCCCCAGCCGTAAAGCTGGCTTACATTCGTCTTCGTCAAAGAGCGAGGGAAAGGGATTCTCAACAGGAGGACTTCTGGCTTGAGCGTATTTGCGAAAGGTTTGAAAAAACATGTGCTAACTTATGCGTGGATGATTATTAACAGTATCTTACATGCATTCGTTAGCACTGATATTTACTTAAATGCATATGTCTTATCGATGACATTTTGGTGTACCGAGAACCTGCGTATAAATGAGCTATGAATATGTGCCCACATATATGTGTGGACGCTGGACAATTCTTGTACGGATGAATAAATACAAAAAATCCTGAGCACATAATGATAAATTAATACACCAACTAAAACTTTTTGTATGCAAGAGAAAACTACAATTGCATCCCGTCAGTTTCACAAGCAAGTGCCTTTGTAAGAAGCAGATGCAATCTGCGATGCTTTCATGCACGGTATAATATATATATATATATATAATATATATATATATATCTATATATATATTAAATATAATGCATACACTGATAACCAGACATTAGGCACCAAATCTGAAAAGTTTCTGGCCCTGTCCCCTTAGGACGACTTCCACAAATCTGCCCCCCAATCATTTTCAGAAATCGACATCCATGCTTAAAGCAACGAAACATAACTCAGCAGTTCAGATTAAAAGCAACATAAACATAACATAGCATCGTATTGAATAGTCTGCACTAATTCTACCAATTTAACTTGTATCGTTTGGGATGGGGCTGAAAAATCGTTATCGTACGCTTTGGGACGGCGACTCCCAGACAGTGGACACGGTTGCCATTTAACTTGGTATATTTATTAAGTTACCATTTCGGATGGGCCTTGATGGCAAAAGCATATTCTTGGTAGATTACATCACGCAAACCTACCTTTATTAGTTACAAGATTATGGGTCAACACCTCCCAGACTGTTTGCGCACTCATTATTTACCCACATTTCAAACCTTACTCAGCTGCTGCCACTTGCGTTTGTGGCAGTAAAAACAGCGGTGGTCTGGACTTCACATAGGTATGGTCCACCTCATGTCTCAAGTGGTCCAGCATGTGGCCGTAAAGATTGTATGCCATGTCACCTAGACAAGGGGCAAGGAACTCAGTTGGTGGAATATCAGATATTTGGGCCGTGCGTGACAGTCATTTGGGATCGAATTCCAAAAGCTGTGGCAGTATAGCTCGTCGATGCTAGCCAGTTGGCAAAAGGCCAAACTGATTAGACTGAAACGGGGATGGTTGTGTGACTACATTAAAACAGAGAGTTATTTTCGAAGTTCTACGTAGTGGTATTCAGGTGATTCAGGCTCAGCCTAGGTTATTGCGAAGACCCTGGTCCCACCACGCTGTAAGCGCTATTTCATTTGAACAAGCAATTATGTCCGAACGTGCAGGACCTGATGCCGCTACATTGCCGTACCCCCTATAACCCGGCTGTATCGGCTTCTTACTCATTCACGTTCAAAAGCAGGCCGCATAACCTAAGTGAAGGAAGCTGTATGTCATCAGGCAGTAGTAGTATCGATTGCCGTCTGCATTTGAATTCACTCGTCCGCTTATCCCCACTGGCCGCTTTGTCGTTTGTCCTGGAACAGTTCATCGTTCCGGGAGCCTACTGCTACTGTTATCCCTGAACGGGCCTGCCGACCGGCCGAGCAACGGCACGAAAGCGGGGCGCACACCAACCACAAACCGCCCCTGTGCGTGGTATGAACCCCGGTACTGGAGATAGCCAGACCGTCGCAGCTGTTCTTTCCCATCTGTTAGCCGGTTTGTGAAACCTTGTCTAACCTTCTTCTTGCAATGGTCTTCCGAGCTGACAGAAACCAAAGAAAGACTAAGTAAACCGTAAAACACTACATGACAGCTGCTGAGCTGGTGGGT